GCACTAAGAAAAAATGCTGACCCCTGAATGAAAGTAAAATGGTTTGTAAAAGCTCATGAAATAGAATAATTTCCATGGCTAGAGAAGAGGGAGAAGTAGGTGTGTTTTTTTGGGATCGATACTTAAAGTTCTCTGTGTACCACCAATTAATTTAAGTATTGTGCTTTATCATTTCCAAAGCACTTTCACACATATCCTTATGGTTAATATGCAATATTTCTTCTGATATGGTCATGGTGGATTACTGGGTAATTTGCTATTTGGGCAGGTGCTTGTTTGTATGGGTCAGAAGGAAAGAGGTTGGAGCTCATAAATATTTTATGAAATATTCACAGTAAATACCAATATTGGAAGACATCTACAAATAGGGCAATATGCATACACATTTGATAAATAATAGCTATTTTAATTCAATACACATTGAGTGTGGTCTTTGGAGAATCTGAAATCACATGGAGAAAGCAGCAGTCTGTGCAGCTGTCTGTAATACAAAGCTAATTATCAGATTCACAACAAAGGAACTAACCAAGTGTCATGAGAGCCTGAATAGGGAAACAGTCATTGGACCGATAGGATGGGGATGTTTCTCAGAAACCTTAATCTTCAATGATGAACAAAATTTTCTTTGGAAAAGAGAGAGAAGGACAATGTAGGTGACGGAAACAAACTGAGCAAAAGAGCTGGAAGTAGCTGCAAGCACAAGCTGTATTTTGGAAAGTCCAAGGACTCCTGAGACTGGAATGAAAACAACGGATGAGGCACATAGAGAGAGTGGTGAGGCATGAGGTCCAAGTTAGGCTGAGATTAGATTTGGGGCAGGGGTCTCAGGGGGAGTTCTGACCCTCTGACTAACCAACCCAGGCTCTGCTGAAGGCAAAGGGGAACAGTGGCAAAGTTCTGAAGAAGGAAATGACACAATTGGGTCTGTTTCACAAACAATCATTAATTGCTTTGTTTTCTCCCTTTTAATATTATGTGTGGACCTTTATTGATCTTTGAAGCAAATTAACATCTCCCGGACTTGCTGTAAGAACTTAGTAAATTAATACGTGA